GTGGGCTCCCCCGCGGGCGGGAGGCGACCCGCACGCCTCGCCTCCTCTCCCCTCTGGAGGTGCCCCCGTCCGCGGGGCTGTGCTGCCCCAGCTCATGGCTGCACTCCCTTCCCAGGCTACCACTTGCTTTCTTCATCGCATCCCTGCGCAGTCTCCTCTTGAAATGACGCAAACCCTCTCCTTTCGCCCTCCCCTGGCATAAACGTGTTTTCAAGTCTTTTCGTGTATTTTCTGGACTTTTCATTTTATTCCTTGATGATTACCTCTTGTCTTCTGTTGTTTTTCTTCCCTCCCCTTGCAGCAGGTCCAGCAAGATGGGTTTCCAGGCTTGGCTGCCCCTGCCGTTGCCAAAGCAGCTGGTGGTGTTCGGGCTGGGAGACTGGAGCTGTTACTCACCAAACACAAGCATCGTGGCAGACGTGCTGGTGTCCCCGGGCGTCGCGCCGCAGCGGGTCGGCACGCTGGAGCCCACCCGCAGGTCGCGGCGGGAGCTGGTTTTGCCGGGGTGTCAGCAGGGGTGTCCTGGAAAAGCCTTCTGCTCTGTGGTGCTGCCCAGTTCTGCTGGTGTCATCCCAAAGCTGATCAGGCCTGCTGGTCCTCCACCATGGTGTTTCTCTCTAGTGGTGCTTTCAGCTTCCTTTTGGCTGCTTTCAGGGCTGGATCTTTTTTGGCTTTGGGGTGTTACCAGCTAGTGTGGGAGCAGGACTTTTTCCCAGGTCAATGTCACTTCTTGGCTGAAACCCCATGGTCCCTTGTGCAGGTCTCTGGTGTGGGAAGGTGACTGGAGGACAGATATTTTCATGGCCTCATTGAAAGAGATGGATAAAGGCAACTCTGTGAAGCTTGTACTGACTGTCAATGGACAGGTAAAAAAACTGACATCCTACTCTCTTCCTGCCCAGGGTCCCAAATGTTGTTACTTCTGAGCTACAGAGCTTCCTCTCCCACTGTCTCATTTTCCTTCTCTTTGCTACTCCAAGGCAGAGCTGCCTCACGTGGATCTGTTAACGCTTATTTGTGCTGAGCCTAAACCTCCTGTGATGCTCCAGGCTATTCCCTAAACAGCTTTGCCAGAACACCTCATGTGTTGCAGGAGATGGGTAACAGAGAGCGGTTCACTTGCAGTTCTACTTTCTCCTGGGCCTGTGGTACTTACACAGTTGTTTTACCTTCTGCTGAAGCCCTTGGATTTAGCACCTCCCAGTGCCTGGCTTTGCTTTTCTTTGTTTATTCTCTTGGTGCTGGAGGTGAAAGCTGGGCTATTCCCTTGCAGCGAATCTGACCTTTGCAAGACATCTTTTTGCTCACCCTTTGTGGGTGGAGGCCAGCACTCTCGGTGTGTCCTCTTATTCTCACTGCCACTGTCTCTGCCACAGCTGCTCCGAGGTGTCTCCAGCAGTACACCCACCCACGCCTTCCTCATCCCAGAGACCACCCAGTCACCAGTGCTCCCAGCAGACGATATGCCCCTTGGTAAGGACCTGGAGCATCCTACTGTGGTACGTGTATCTTGGAGCCTTCCTCTCATTATTTCATCCTCTGCTTAGTACTTTCTCCCTCACTTGTAGCTGCTTAGTTGATGTCTAGCAGAAACATTTGCTGCTGCTTTCTTAGTGGAGACCTGGCTAAGCAAGTTTTGGAGCTGAAGATTCACTTGTGCTAAAGAAAGCGGTACTCCATTGAAATGCTTTTGGAAGGGTTGAATTTAACAGCCCTTGGTGGGTTGATCGATCAGCCTGGTTACTCCTAGCACAGATGGCCTTTCTGCCTTTCCAGTTGCCTTGTGTTAGCTGTGCCCGTTGCAGCTAGCAGTCTGAAAGCAGACCACTGGGCATATAGCAGCAGGTAGCTGCATTGCTCAGCATATATTTGGTGGCTGATGCTGTTGGCATGCTGGCTCTTAAGCCTCAATGAGAAGACAAGCCTGAAAAGTCACCATGTGAAACTACTCTCTGGCCCAGCAATAGACAACTCACAGTAGCCTCAGGTCTTTTTCTTCAGGGCTGATTTGACTGGGACTCTTGTCACAGGTTAAGAGTCAGAGCTCAGAGGTGACTGCTAGAGCATCCAGGCATGGGAGGAAGGACGTCTGCCCAGCACTGAGGACCCTGGCGGTACCCTGTGCCCTGAAACCACCATGTGGCAAGGTGGAACCCAGCCAGGCCTGGAGGAAGAGTCCTGTCCACCCCAAGAAGCCCAGGAAAGTTTTATTTGAACCCACAGCATCTGAGAGAGATCTCAGTTTAGAAGGTAACTCTGGCAGCTTCCAGGTTTATTTTACAGGTCTTGTCTGAACGATCTGCTGGGCAACAACTTCCCAGTCCATTTCTCTGTATACCTCCCAGGCAAGATGGGCTTGTCTGTCTCGGCTTGCAAAATACCGAGAACTGCTCCTTAGTGCTGGATAAACTGCTTGATGATTTTCTGCCTGTTGGGAAAAGGCCAGAGATAGAACATGGGACACTCTTAGCACCAACACTCTGTACCATAACGCAGTATGCGTATTTCTTCATATGAGTAAAAGTGCTTTATAAGTGAAGTCAAGTATCATTAGCCTTGTTTTACAAAAGAGTAAATTGAGGCACAAGAAAGTTACCTACTGTGACATTCTGTAACCTCTCCATTAGTCTGTTTGTTCCCCTGCTAACAGCATACCACTTGGTCCATAGAAGACATTGGTTATTATTAAGGTATAGAGAATATAAAAAGGAATATATGTATAATTAGTGTAATTGTACTGACTTTTCAGTAATGAGAAGGTAGCTGCCAAGGGATTTGGAAACAAAACCTTTAGCTTCTGAAGCGTGAATTCCAAGTCAGCTCCAGGGTGTGACCAAGTTTGTGTGTAAATGTTTGATAATAGCTCAGTAGTTCCCATGTGAAGTGACTTCTTGGGACTTGGCTTGCTTCTCACAAAGGCAAATATAGCTCCATCATAAAGTTGCTTCTGCTGTAGGCAGTATGAGAAGTGGGGAAATGAGCTTCCATCAGAGGAGTAAAATGCAATGGCGGCAGCATGATGGCCCTCAAAGGAAGCATGCCCTGCTCTTACTTGTCTTCTGCATTTCTTCTTCTGAGACTTTCTTCAGGATTCTTGGTCTTGCACCTTGTTTGTTACAGTGAGGTAGCTTTGTGCTGAGGGTTGGAGGAAGGAAGGCCAAAGGGCTCTTAAACCATGGAGTTGAACATTTTCCAGGGTATGTCTGCTGGCTGCTTTCTTTATGGGGCCATCTCTGTGTTTCCTCTGCAGATCTGGCAGTGGAGGAGTTGCGAGGTGAGGATCTGGTTCCTAGGTCGTGGTTTGTCTTTTCAGCTACTTGGTGATGCAATTCCCTTTAATGTCACAGACCTTTCATGCTTCATCCTTTATCTCCCCAGGGATCAAGAATAACAAGTAGGTTGTGTGTATATACTGTTCTCCTCCATGCAGTTGCCCTCAGTATAGGTGCTTCCAGTACCTTCAGGCTCTCCAATACGCCTCTTTAGCTCCTCTGAATCTCAGGCACACCTCTGGGTGCATAGCTCTTGGAGGCAAAGGGTAAGATGTGGAATAGACTTTGATTAAAAAGTATTTTTTAGCTTGGTCAGCCAACTGCAAGGGCATGGGAGAGAAAAGGAGGAACAGAGCAGTATGAGGAATATCTTTGGATATCAACTCCTGGCTTCTGGTTGCTGTATCTTAGGCACTAACAAGCTGTCCCTGGGTAGCCCTCCCTCACAAGGAGTAACAGAGGGGGATAGCATAACTGGGATATCCCTTCTGGGGATGGGTAATCAATGGGAGCCATCCAGGCTTGTCTGAAGTGGCAGCCTGTATGCATCCTGCATCCAGCCAGACTCTTTGCTGGCTCCCTCTGCTAGTGATGTCTCTCCTTGTACAGAAATTAATCCCCAAAGCCACAGAAAATCTTCCTCAGGGAGCTATTTCTCTTGCCACCCCAGAGGGAAGAGACCTGGGGCCCTTGCTTTCCCATTTCTTTCCTCTGAGCCTTCAGCTGCCTTCTCCCCAGCAGGGAAGGGAGCTGGGGGTGTCTCATCTGACTCTGCTCACAGCCCTGTGCTCTCCCCTCCCCAGGCAGTCCCAGCCCACGGTGGTGCCATGCCATGTGCCTCAGTGACCTGGGGACAGCTGTTCTGATCGGTGGAGAAGGTGTCAATCAGCAGTCCTGCAAGGATGCACTCTGGAAGCTGGAAATTGGTGGGGACTTTAGGGCTGCCAAAGGCAATGGGGGCGGTGGGACTTGAGGACAACTCAGGCAGATGGGAGGGGGTACTCAGGGGTCTGTGCATAGGGAGGAGACAGCTAAGGTGTCACATCTCCTAGGATGGTCACCAGGCTGAGCTGAGAGCGTAGGGTGCCATGAGAGGCTGTGGGGTTGTATGTGAGCGCCCTCCAGGAGCTAAGAGGTAAGTTCTGGAAAGAGTTGGGTGAGTTTTAAGGGGTAAAAGCAACAGCGTGGTTTGCAATCTGTGTGTGGTGACTGGTGGAGAAGTGTGAGATACAATTCCAGTGCCTTGCAGCTTTCTGCAGCTCACTGATGCTCTCTTCCACCTTACTATTCCCCACCTAGTTAGTGTTCCCCTTCATTCCTTACACAGAGACATTTCTGTATGAGTCCCTTCTAGCTCTGAATCAGAGGAGAGGAGGAGATGAAGGGAGCAAGGTCTTGGGTAAAGATTTTATGACATATTCTTTAAATGTGGAGAAATTGAGAGCACCTTTGAACCTTCACACCACCTGTCTGGTGTTGCTTCCACAGACAGCGATTTCTGGCTTCCAGTGGGTTTCCAGCTACAAAATGCCATGCCATCGTGCTTGCGTGGTCACACAGCTACCTATGACCCAGATACCAAGCGTATCTACATCTTTGGGGGCATAAGGGAGGACAAAGACTACAGCAGCATCTACATTCTGGACACAGTCACCTGGAAATGGCTCCTCGTGGCTGTAAGTACTGCAGCTCTTCCAAGACAAAAGCGCATGAGGGGGTGGCAGGTCCTGCCTGAATGTGGCAATTGTTGTGCCCAATATTCTTGCTCCAGGAGTCTTGATCCACTGTTGCTGCAGGTTGTCTGAGCTGCTTAGTTGGGACTGACAGATATAAGAAGGCCACAAGCTTGACAGAAACCAGGGGCTGTGCCTACAATGAATGAAACAAGGGGAAAAAATGGTTGCTGCAGAGTGCTGTGTCTGACCAAGGTCATGGGTGGGAGGTACTGTACAAGTGGCAGAGGCAAATGGCCTCTCATTTTATATGGTGCTGTTGAGAGCTTCACTGGATGTTGAGTTGAAGAGTTGGTCTTCTCAAATCAGGGACTACTCTGTGCACAGCAGATCTCTGAGCTCTTTAGTTACCTGTCATGTCCTTGCAGAGGGCCCTGTCTCTTTCCTGGCTAAGTCACAAGATGGCTTTTACAGAATAAGCCTGGATGAGATCTTTCTGTTTTCTGTCATCTGAGGAAGCTGGGGTAGGAGGTTGACTTCCTTCTCTCATCAGAGCATTCTGGTGGTGCACAGTACACAAAGGATGTACTGTCTGCCCGGGTGGCAAAGATCAGCTGGGGAGCCAATAAAGTGAAAATTGAGACTTGTCAAACTCGCTGCATGAGGTGGGTCCCTTTCCTACTGGTCATGCAGCAAATAATGCACTTCTCGTAACAAATATATGTTGAACTTTTTCCAGGCTAAAGGGAGGGTGCCAGTGCTCAGCTACCACAGTGCAACTGTCTACCGGAAGGAGCTCTTTGTTTTCGGAGGGACTTCCCCCCAAAAGGCATCACTGGCAGTTGGGCCCTGCAGCAATGTGCTCTATGTCTTCAATCCAGAGCATGAAATTTGGTACCAGCCCATCTCAGAAGGGGAGAAGCCTCTGCCTAGGCTTGGGTGAGAGTGCTCTTATTCCAGCCTTCCAAAACAGAGCAGGAAACCTCTGCTCACCTTCCCTTGCACCCCAGTGTAATTTCCTAAATATTATATGATTCTTCTCCACTGTTTGTTCCTAAAGACAGGGCTATGATTTGAGCAATGTGACTCCCAGTACTTTCCTGTCGTGAGTCCTGATGGGATTCTGTCCTTGGACTGCAGTGGCTGGGGGTAGAGGCAGGTGTAGACTGAAACTATGGCAGCCCAATAGCAGAAGCCAAGGCTGAAACATCAGTTTTGGGAACTTGCTGAAGATACTTTGTTCACTTGCTGCTTCTCTGCCCAGGCATTCAGCTACTCTGCTGAAGAACAAGCTGCTGATTTTTGGGGGTCGGAGGACTTCTCTCTACCTCAGTGACATGCACATCCTGGATCTGGGTAAGAAAGTCTGTGCCAGGTGGATGCCTTGGGAAGGTCTGTTCTAAGGCAGGGACTGGGGAATGAGGTATGCTCGATGGGAAGGTAGCATTAATGTTATAAGAACTCCTGACTAGGAAATGGAGATGGAAAACTATGGGGTAAAAAAAAAAACCTTTCTGGGGTAAGAGGGGAGGCAAAGGGGAAAAACAAGAGACTGCTTTTTTGGAAGAAGCTGGGTAACAGAGAATGCAGGTTGCTGAAGTGGCAGGGTGTGGAAATTTTTGTCTAGTTATGAGGCTGAGCTTTTTGGGCATTTCACCTGCCTTTCCCCTGGCTGTCAGGTTTCATGGAGTACACGCCAGTGCCCTTCCTCACAGGACAGCCTTCTGCACGTTGGTAAGATCCTATTGCAGACCCAGGAGCTATCTTCTTCCTCTGTCCTTTCTCTTTGAAGTCAGGTTTAAACGGTGCTTGTGATCAGACCCAGTTGCATATCTCTATCTCCCTAGTCAAAATACAGTGGATGGCCCTCTGCTGCAGGACCAGAAATTCCTGTGCTGGCCTAGTTGATGCCTGTAGGGTGTGTGGGGGTACAGACCCCTTAGTCCCCCTGGAAATCTGCCTTTCAGGCTAGGGGAGGTTTTCTGCCATGTGCTAGTGAACTTGCTGTTTGGTCTCCATAGTATGTGGAGTACAACAGACACACAGAGAGGAAGAGACTCTTGTACCAGGACTATGCTGTTCCTAAAGGGACACTATTGCCCACTAGAACAATGACTTAAATCAATCCAAAGCCCAGCTAGCCTGCTATCTCACTCCATAGAGAAAAACATAGGAGTTTTGAAAGCTCCTTCTGAGACAGTTAGGTGCTTTTCAGGCCTGATTATGGCCTGACCTGCAGAGGCAAGCAAACAGCTCTTTCGGGGTTATTCAGCAAGTCAGGGCAGAAGAGAAGCAGAAGTTAACTTCCATTCTGCAGCTTAAGCCTCCAGTCTCTTGCTGAAGTCTGCCCACCCCTGCCCATTGCTGACTGAGGCAACCCCAGCAGGTTTTGCTGTAGTCACCTTTTGGCTTTGCTTTGGTCGCAGTTTTCATGCAGCTCTGGCTGTGTCCGACCAGAAGGTTCTGATCAGTGGAGGCTGTAATGCCAAGGGAGCCCTGCAGGATGCCTTTGTCTTCCACCTAGGTAAGTGACTCTCCCTGTTAACATAGCTGAAGGTGACTATGGGGCTGCAGTGGTGTTTCTGAACACCTGGTCTGGTCCATTTGTTTCATCCTTTGCACTAGGAATGGGCTTGTCAGTATTGATAGCCCCTTTCTACTTCAGATACTCTTTCATGGAGCACGGTGATCCACCACGACCTCTGTTCTGTGCCCCGAGCTGGCCACACGTTGCTTGACCTGACTCCTGCCCACCTGATGGATGTGGACAAGGAGAACAAAGAGGAGCATAACCTGCACACGGTGTTGGTCTTTGGGGGCTCCAACTGTGCTGGGATCTTTTACAACAGCACAGTCAAGATCCAGCTGGATGTAGGATAATGCATAATACTTGGAATGAGCCTGGAACAGCAAGGGCTCTTCACCAGCCTGAATACAGACATGGATGGCAATAAATGAGTCCAAGCAATGTGGCAGTCCAAGCATCTATATGTAGGTGAATGCTGCCTTGGCACAAAGACTTTGTAGAGTCTTTCTGAAGGCTGTGGGTATTGCCCTCTTAGGGTAGCTGCTATACAGCATCAGACTGACAGAAATTGTCTCCCATATGCCTGGCTTGGTACCTGGGTTTGCAGATGAGCCTGCACAGGAACAGTCACAGGCTTCTGGGTTTCTCTTCTCGCCCTACAGGTTTCTGGGCTGGAACCTGTGGAGTGCTTTCAGCTCTGAAGGCGACTCAGGTATTGGGTTTCATTTGCAATGAGTGGAATGGGATTTACTCATGCCACTTGGAAGGTCCTCACAGTGAAAGTACAGGCATGATTCTGGTTTGGAGGGAATCTGGGGTGGGATTCCCTTGGGCAATAGTCTGCAGCTGAGGACTAGGGAAACACCCAGAGCAGTGTCTGAGGATGGGAAAAGGAAGAGAATGCCATCATTTTCAGTGTACGGGAGTGAGCTGGTTGTGTCTTGCCAACTATGGCACAACCATGTAGCTTTGCTCTAGAAAGACCATTATAAATTCGACAAGACTACTGCTAGATGTAAGGAAGAGGTACAAATCAGCTGTCCCAGTAGTAGTTCTTTTGTCATTACAAGGGGTGGCAGAGTTGCTGACTGTTGGCTCTTACAAGACCCATGGGACTCAAAAAGGGTTGGGATTAAGCTGTCTTCTGTCAGAGACTAGCTCTTACTGTTTATATCCATGGCACTGATGATGATGCCATAGCTCTGAGACAGCTGCAAGGACAAGCAGGCCTGCTGGGTTAGCAGCACACTGTGTACACCGGTTCCCTGATGCTCTTTCTGTAGATGGGAGAAAGAAGAAGCCCCTGTGGGGAGTCCAGAATTCGCTCAATACCTCACAGTTGTTTGTGGCCACATTCTGCCCCCCCGCCCAAAGCCATACAAAGGGGACTTCTGATAATTATAGATGCTACTGCTTTAATCTGCTTCATGGAGATACATCAAATAGAAAAAACATAGAAGTAGCTGCAAGCTTTCCAGCACAGGCATAGCTCCTGTAAGTCATCCAGGCTACTTCCAGGTCCTCTTCCTGGGTGCCGCCTTCCCACCCAGATAAAAGTGAGACAATAGCACTAGGGCCTCCTGCTGGCACTCAAGTCCTACTCAAGCAGTAGCTGTTGCCCTCTTTGACCCTTCAGCTTACTTGATGTGATGAGTAGAAAGGCTTCAAGCTCGCAGCTCTGCAGGAGTATCTGGCTGCAGGGATGGGTGGCTTACTTTGAATGCCTCTAACTCCAGGAGAGCTTTGTTTATTCTGGTTATTGTGGGATATGGACCCATGTCCACTTTGAATCTGCAAAAGGAAAAGAATTTGTGAGGTACTATGAGTCAGACAGCCAGTGCAGCAGTGAGCAGAAGAGCAGAGAAGTATGCTGTGCATGCCCAGTATGGGAGAATCTCACAGGCTAGGATACATTTGCATTAAGAGAAAAGATTCATCCTTGTAGGTTTAAAAACAAATGCTAGAGGAAAGGTTAGTTCTTCCATCTTGACTAGGCTTTTACATAGTGTGCAGCAGAGGGTAAGAAGGCACTATGCTTTTCCTGGGAATCATGCAGCCACTACTTGCATAGGTTTAAGGCTTTCAACAAATAGAGTCAGATTAATCTTTGCCCTGTCTGCAGCATAAATATAAGGCAAACAGGGAAAGAGGATGTGGAGTGTGGGCAGCCTTAGCTTTTCTAAGGACATAGATCAGGTTTCCTCCAGGGGCCTCTAAGAGAGCACAGCTCCTTATTTCCAAGAGCTTCCAAAAGAGGTAGTATTTGTGCCATAGGAAAGCATCCCTCCTGCCTCCTCTATCCAGTTATGGATTCTTCTCTTTATGAATTTTCCTAACAGGCACAAGGAGCAGCAGAAGGTAACCTCTGACAGCCCAGCACAAGGAGTAGGTGCCCTTGAAGAGCGCCTCAAGCTTAGCCTTGATTACCTTTCAGCATTGAAAACTTGGGGCACCAAGCACAGATCAGCCATGGAGACCTGCAAATGTAGCAGAGAAAAGGGGTCAGAGTAAGTCAGAGCCTGTCCCATCATGCTTCACTGTGGTGGCAGGCTTTTACAGCAGGATAGAAATTATTTTATCAGCCAGTACAGAGGAGTTATCACAACAATCCCATTCTTTAATCCAGCATAAATAATACAACAACAGTACAAGGAAAGGAGCTTCATAGGAGTCACTAGTAGAAGAAGCCATCGGCTTTCAGGGAGCTTCATATTTACCAGCTGATCATCATGACTTCAAGGACAAAGTGCTTCTATGGCAACTGCCTCTGAGCAAACAAGTCTGCTGGCAAGCTGCAGAGGGAGGCGATGGAGGGAAGGGGCAGTTTGTGTGGCTGGGAAAAGATGAGTAAATTTTGTTTGTTTGCATTGCAGGAGTATCAAGCAGCTCCTGCTGATGTCAAGACCTGATACATGATAGGGCCTTTGCACACAGGCTCAGGGACTTGCAATCTGAAGAGAAGACTCAATAATACAGGTAGCTGCACAGAGGCAGCTACCCCCACCCCACTCCCCAGGTCACAAAGTTCTGGGTGCCTTTCAGAGCACACATTATTCTCCAGCATAAGATCTCGTAACTAGCTTTTGCCCACCAAGGTCTCCAGTTCCCTAAGGCTCCTACTAGACAATCCTCTGCATCACAGGTCATTGCAGGAGTCTTCCTTTTTGCCAGGCTTTTATAGGAAGGATCCAATTGCCTGCCAAACTGGACTACTAAATGGAAGAGGCCTGAGTGGCCTCTAGCTTGGTAAGGGTCAGAACAGCTTGTTTGTGAGCTCTCTGAAATCTGTCCATGTTAAAATTGGACAAACAGAGCAGAAAAATACAATACAACTTGGTTAAAGGTTCCACAGAGCAGAGTTAAGAACTGAACCTGTGTTTTTTGAGCCAAGCTTTGCCCCTATGACAGGACACTTTGAATTCCAAATCTCTTAAAGGTGAAATATATAATCTGTTTCCACATTCAGTAGTAGAAGCCAGATCCTAGATATAGGTGCAGAATCTGGCCATCAGCAGGTTATAGGCAGGGATAAGTAAACATCTCTGTAGCTATTTGCAAGTCAGTAATGGCCTAAGTGGGATCCATGCAGCTATTTTTCTTATGGTGAAGGCATTGCATCTAACTCCAGGCACAGGCTGGAGTTGTTCTGTGTCTCCACAACTAATTTCCTTTCCTGTTTTATGGAATATACTGGGGTTTTCAGTTCTCCAACGGTACACAACACTCCCGCAGATACTTACTTCATCCCCCACACAGTAGCGCCCAGCAGTGTGCTCTAGAGTCTGCTCCAGTGCTGTCGAGAGAGGTGGTATACTGGAGTGAGGCACTGGAAACTCATTTGAAAGGGACACCAAAGACCCTTTAGACTGGGAATTATGAACAAAGGTATTTTGACCCTGAGCTGAGTATGAAAAAGGAGCAATTTGGGACAAAACCTAGAAGGAACAGAAATCTTACAACAGTGTAGTTACAGGAGTCTTTAGGGTCCTTCAGCCTTTTGGGACCCAGGGTGATTTCAGCTGCTTCAGGCAATGGACCTGAAATACTAGCAGGACAATGTAGAGATACATGAGAGCGGGGAAGGGAAAAATGCAAGTGTTCAGTCAGTTTGTGTCTGTCTAGAAGTGAAGATGGGCCTGCCATTCCAGCACATGAGGGAAGGGTTTTTGAGGAAACAAAAAGCACTGTATGTCTCCGAGGGAGGTAAAGAAATACTCTGCTGCTTGCTAGATTCTGTAGGAGTTTGCCACCAGATGTATTTTGCCTGAGGACAAAAGCATATCAATATAGATTGATAGAGCTTTAAAGCAAAAGGCACTAGTTAGGGAGCAGCTGACTGGAAAGGAGAAGTGCTGTCAGCCCTCATGTGTGAGGGTGAATCAACTGCTATGGTGTACAGGATGGCCTCAGGCTTTCCCTCTTCCATGCATAGCAGCCTAAGTGCCCTGTGGACAGTATCTTTCCTCTGAGACCCTGGAGTGCTACCAGCAGGGCAGGACCCCAACACACCAGCCTAGGGAGATCTGTTGTTCTGCTTAAGGAGGAAAGTAGAACCCTAGTGGTGCAGAGTTTTGAAGGGTCAGTCAAAGTACTGATAATTTTGGATGTCGGACGCACCTTGGAAGCCAGATGCAATGCAGTTCTGAGCCCATTCCATTTTTTTCTCCCCCATTTGTTTCAGGACGCTTAGGTTCTGTGAAGGCAAGTGATCTCCAGGTTAGATTGACTGCTGCTGGCTGGATTTTGCCCACTGCCTCATCCGGTGGAGGAGAGGGGAGACGAGGAGTTGCCAAGCCTGAACTCCCAGCCTGAGTTCAGCCTGCTGGGTCAGCCCTGACTTCACCCTCACTGAACCATGCACCCTGATGTTACTCTCTCCTGAGACTGTCCTTCTGTACCAGCTGCCAGGGTATCCCTTTGCCTCTGCCCTTTGGGTTACTCAGTTGTTGTCTTCCTAAAATATACTAGACCCTGCAGTGCAACTGCGTGGGTTCAGCTGTTTCTGGAAAGAACCCTGGGGTGCTATAGGATTTTCTTTGTAGGAAATACTGTATTGTTGCCATTGGCAGATCAGGAAGAGGCTAAGCAGAGATTTCATTTGCTAACACACAGTCTTAAGGTCTGCCACTCTATTGGCTGGCAGCAATTTAAAGAAACTGAGTTTTTCAGAGATACAGACTCCTGGAAAGCCCTTCTGGTTTTCTCATTTGCATGGATATGACAAGGCAATACCTGAAGTGGCTGAATGCCAGAAACAATATGATCTGCGATCATTCTGACTTGGGCTCTCTTCTTCAGATCTTGGGGCAGGAGCCTGGGGTTAGGACAGGTGTCTTCTAGGTAATGAATTATAGCTAGCTGTAATGGACAAAGAGATAGGGGAGGTTATTGGAGAGCCAAGGAAAAGTTCACATCCTGAACACATGGGAAAGGGGAGCTGATCCAAGAGAATACAACAGCTTTTGAATGAAGTTTGTTAGCAATCCAAGCAACAGGATATCCATCCCCTTCGATGTCTGCTTGGGACCTCGTTGTCATTTAGCCCAGCTGTAGTTTCAGGCAATCCCTGGCACAGCCATCTAAGTCAGACTACAAACTGTTCAGTGAAAGGTGGAGTTATGAACCAAAGCTGAATTGAGCTTAAATCCTTGACAGCAGTTTCCCAGCAGAGACTATATGCTATTTCTGCCCCCAAGTGGGATTGTTTATCAAAAATGCCACCTTTTTTCCAATGCACAGGTGAGAGCTCTGGGGGAAGAGATGGGGCAAAGCTATCCCCTCCAGACTGGCAGCAGCTGAAGTGAATGGTTAACAGGGATGTGGCTGGTAACTCACTGACTGAGAAAGGGTGATGCCATCAATTTTCAAGGCTGGGACTTGCTGCATTGGATTCACTGCCTTGAATTCAGCAGAAAACTGTGGAAACAAACATGAGATTACTGCAACAAGAAATTCTTCTTTCTTGTTTTCTCCCCCTAGAACCCAGTAACAAAATGGATTTTTTTTTTTTTTTTTAACCTGGCTTTTCCCTCTACCTCAGTACTAATATTGCAGTACTATTTGCTGTACCATTAGCCTACACCAAGCTCTCACTGGGGCTTAGGGACCACTGCATCCAAGGCCAAACTGCCTTACTTCTTGATAAACCATCAATACAAAGCCCAGGATGGGTAGTACTGCAACAGTGTCACTATTACTGTTCTAGTTCTCCAACTCTGTCTTAGCCCATACTAGCACATCAAGCCGGTGGTGCTACTGGGTGCATGTCTCCCAGCTAAGGCCTCCCAAATAAATTCTCAGTGAAGATCTCTTCTGGCAATCCACTCATTTAGCATCTTTTGGACACAGCACCACCACACATACTTTCTGGTGTTAAGTGAGTGAGGTTGAGTCTGTGTTTAAACTGCAGTGCAGCTTCTCTGAAGTCTGTGTGTCAGGTATGTTCAGTTATATCGTGCTAAGCAGGAGCAATACATCTTCAGCCTTATGAAATTCAGTCACAGATGTTTAAGAGAGGAGAAGACCTTTAGTCTCCTGCAGTCATCTCCCCCTATCCTGCATGCCAGGGAATACTGGTTTAAAGCAACTATTAATTACAAAGAAGCAGTAAGGACTTCAGTGACTTTGCCTGTGAACTTTCTAGTGCTGATCCCAATTCTCCTAATGATCCCCAAGTTCAGTACCCCTGGAGAGAGCAATGGTAGCTGTATCCTTACCTGCTGTCCCCCATCCTTCAGGAGGTTCACTGGCACCACATCATAGGCAATCCCTTTCAGAGCCAGTGCTAGGGAGAACAAGAGTGTACAGCTTCAGACAGGCACACTGAGACCAGTTTCATTGGTAATGGGCTCAGGGAAACGCTATCATCTCCATTTGAAAAAAGAATGGCTTTAAAACCAAAAAAGACCCTATCCCTCAAGAAAGGTGGCCCGAGTCCACCGAGAAGGTAGCATGCTGGCAAATAAAGGACCAAAACACTAAAGATCAGTCCTGGCAAAAACGGTGCATTATTCAAAATAAGCTTTGCCACTCTTTGCAGTGCAGGCCCTCCTGACAGGGCTTATACAGGGCAGGGTGGGGGCTGTGCTTACCTGCAAATCCTTGCTTAAGGCTGTCTCAGTCCAAATAGGGACTGTTCCCAGCCCTGCTTAGTTCTCAAGACCTGGGCAGACCAGAGTCTGAGGCAGTATCAGTGTGAAAACAGAGTGTAGGGCCCCTGTAGATAATGTGGAAGAAACAGCCATCTGCATCATGTTAACTTTACAAAAGGAGTAATTCCCTCTCACTAGCTGCAGGCTGAGCGAAGCCCTCCTGTCTGTTCCTCTCCCTTCCCCCTGCTCCAGGTAGGCTGTGGTATTCCCTTCCCTCCCACTCCAGAGAAGGGTGAGGGAAATGCCTCACTGTTCCAGGATCATGTTTGCAGATCTCTCTCTTAAGTTACTGATTAATTGGGTTAGTGAAGGGGAGGGTACTGCAACCACACCAAAACAATAAAACGGAGATCAATACTGGATCTTACCAATTCTCACTCTCCAAGAGCAGGAACTTCGGAAATAGCTATAAAGTATCGGCTGAGAAGAGAAAGCCAGGTAAAGTGGTTATATGGTGGGAACACCAGATTATTGTAAGGAGAACAATGCATGAACAAAAGGCATTTTAGGAACTGTAAGACAGGGCAGAGCAAGGTTTGGGGAAGAGAGGGCTCCTTTCTGAAAGTGACTGCTCCTGTTTTGGGCGTACGGGTGGTGTCACTGTCTTTCATGCTGGCCCTCTGAATATTTAGTTGCACCTGATGTTTCCAGCAATGCACAAGTGACCTTAAAATCATCCCCTACAAAGCTTCCCTCTTTGTCCCTATCAGATGTTGCTAACTTTTATCCCATCTCGGATATTTTAAGCAAACTCCCCACTGATTATGCCAAGCGCCTGCACTGGGTATTTGCATGGCATGAAATGGCTTCTCCTGCCACACAGGGCAGGGCAAGGCCTCTTTCCAAATGACAAGAGCTATTGCTGTTGCAGATGAATGCCAGGAGGGCAGACAGCTCATCTCTACCTGAGCTCCAGCACCAAGGCAGCTTTCACAGACACTTCCACCCTGTCCGAGCTCTTACCTTTTCAGATGCCATGGTCAGCATATGCAATCTACTCCAGGAAACAAAAACAACCTCTTTGCTTTCCCTTTTATCTCAGCTGGGATGGGGGAAGGCTTCTCTCCTAAAGCCAATGAGAAAAGGACTATGCTCCCAAATCTGTGCCCAGGGCACAAAACCAGCCAGTCAGATTCAATCCTGAGTGACTGCTGTCAGCTGCATCTGCATCTCCATGTGCTGTGCTGCAGCCCCAGCCCTGATATCAGAACCATTAACCAGCTTTAAGGTTGGAAGCACATTTAGGAACCATCCTTATTTCCCTAGCTTTTTGTTCAGAAATAAGTAAGATATCTAGAGAGCCTGTCAGGGTCTCAGCAGTTGCCAGTGCAGAAATATAGCCCTGGGGAACAAAACAAGGAAACCGAAGCCACAGGCAGAATTTCTGTTTCACTAGGGAATGACTGCCAGCTCCCTGAACAGGGGCTGCCTTTGTGGGGAGGTCCCTTAGGATTCTCCTGTGGCCCTCCTCCCATCAGTACCAGCTGGCGCAGAGGGTTTTCTATGTTGCAGGCCTGGGAGAGGCTGCTACTCTGCTCCCAGGCCAACTTTGTGCAAAATATGAAGCTCGCTTTTTTGTGTTATGGTCTTTTCTTTCCACACAGGAAATTGGTACTCATGCATGTCTCTAAATAAACCCATAATCACGTCTCTTCTTTCTTCCATAGATCCCATGGCGTGCCAGGGATCTCTCTGTGTCTCCACTCCCCCAAAATGCATAGAAATTGTACCAGAGAAGCAAAGCAGAAAAAATCAGGGATTTGCTCACTGACACACAATCTGTCAACAGAAAACCAGAGAGACCCCAAAGATCTCTGTGCTCCAGTCCTCTTTGTAAACTTGATCCTTCTCTTACAGTTTAGACTGGTTCAAATAACTTTAAATTAGGTATGCATTTGATTAAATTACTCTAGTCAAAGTTTACTGAAGAAATGCTTTATAACTGAGGAAGGAAGTGATGGCAGTATTGGCAACACTTTTGTGGACAAAGTATTTACTCATTTTCTTAAATTCTCTGCGTCTAGAATCAGGGTATTAGAAATCTCAGCTACGCTTTTTTTCAAATGTCTACCCTGCTGGGTTGCAGGGAAAGAAACAGAAACTATGACTTCAAAAGGGAAACATACAGCATTCATGACATGCTATTTTTACCTGTTTTTCCTGGGGACCTTGCTGATGATTTTTTGGCTCAGAAAAATTCATGTCCTTCACCACATCTGTTTTGGACTCTGGCCTCTGACCTGACAGAGACATTTCTCCTGATCCTCTCTACAGTTCTTTGTTGTTTTTGCATCCTGCACTATCACTTGTAATAAATTGTGCTAAGCTAATTGCTTCACTCTACAATTTCAAGGCCCTGGGGGATTTCACCAAAAAGAACATGGAAAACAACCCATCCCTCAGCTGGGAGCTCTGTCTCCAGAGGCTGGGGCCAGGAGTGATCTCCTGAGTTCATGCTGTTTTGCTCCCAGCAGCCGGGCAGATCACAGGCAAAACAATCAGCTAAGTAAAGACTAAAGACAGCAGGAGTGTTTTGTCCTCAGTGGACAGGTCCCAGAGTGACATATCTAGTCTTCCTCAGACGAAGAGCTGAGCATGGGCCAGGGAAGTAGCAGGGAAGAACTGCCTCCATTTACAACCCCATAGGGTACAATCCCCATAAGCTACAGGTAAGACCAGTTGGAGCTGGAAGGACAGCAGGAGGACAACATTTGCTTGATGTCTACTGAGATTTCTGGTTTTGATTCTGTTTTAATTTTCAGCAGCAGTGGTACAGTGAGGAAAATTTGGGCTTAAATCCCAATCCAGAGTAAAAATCTGGGAAATGCATTTCACTGTTTAGGAAGATGGAAAAGACACCCCAAACTTTTGTGTGTTGAGCTCTCAGGTTTCCCATCCTGTCTGCTTCAGTATGGTCTCCTCTGGATACCACCTCTTTCCAGGCTATATTTGGGATGTACTTGGAGAGGCAAAATCTTTCTTTCATCTGTTTCTCGAGACCCATCACTCCAAGCAGCCTGCACACACGGATTGATGCAGAAGAGCTACCCATGTGGGACACGAGACAGAAGACTGCTCCTTGGAGGCTTGCGCAGGGGAAACCTCGGTGTCTGAAAGGCACCACTTGTATTCTGCTGGCTTAAAATGTAAAAGGTATAAGCAGAGGAAGAGGTCTGCTCCTAAACCCTCAGTATCTCTGCAGCAGGCATTGGTGTTAACAGCTATCGTGGATAAACTATCTTAAGTGAACACCACCACTGCTTTGAAAGGCGTTAGTTTTATTTAGCATGGGGGCAAACTCCTTGCTCTCCACTGAGACAGAGACGCGGGTGCAGGCCGGGGCAGCAGAAACCTAAGAGACGCCGCGCAGGGCGGCGCAGTCCTCCCGGCAACCGCCGTCCCGGCCTTTCCGCGGAAGCCGGGCCACCAGAAGCTGATTTCGGCCGCGATCCCAGTCAGCTGCCGAGGCGGGCGGCGAGGCTAAACCGAGCGAGGCCCGCGCCGGCCGAGGGCGGAGAACC